AATCTGCGAGTAACATTCTCACCAGTGCTCACTCAGGAAAACCAAGGATGAGATGTATCTGATCTACCTTCAGATGGCTTCCCAGGCACAAAGGTCTCATTGCTTTGTGGGGAAAGAGAATTTAAACTTGCAATTTAAATGCCTCCTCATAGGGGACATGTGTGTCTTATAGTAAGGAAACTCATCACTCTGGAGAAGTGTCTCTACAGCAGGCATGACAATCTGTAACAGTAGCTCAGATGCCTCTGAACAGATGAACAGGGGCATATCTGAAGGATCCAGGAAATCAGTAACAGAGATAAAAACAGAAGGCAGACATCCCAGCACTATGCTAACTTTATGTTTGCTTCCCCAGAGACAGGATCCACAGCTTAACAAACCCACAGGGAACAATTCTCCTGCATCAACCTGTCTCTTCCCTGAGCATTCCAAGTTCCTAGCTATGCTACTGAGGCATGTGCTCACTCTTCTGCCACCACTGAGCATGACAGAGCTAAAGAACTCTCCTCTGTTATCACAGGAGAACAGGTACAAGTAGCTCTGCCCCTGGCAGAAAGGACAGCAAGGACCAAATTGCTGTCTTAAATTTGGACTGCAGCACAGGGGGAGATAAACCAAACATGCAGTCCATCAAGCAAACAGTGTGAAGGACAGGAATATCATAACAAAACATCCACATTGAGACACCTGTTGACCAATGTCGCTTAGGAATTGCCTTGATACTTACTACTCAAACTTGGTACAGTTTGAGAGTAAGAAAGCCATGAATCAGCCAGGCCCAACAACTTGCATGGGAGCTGCTTGTTTGGGGAATGGCATCTTGTTTCCTGACTGGGACTTCTCATCAAAACACCAATCTGAAAAAGACTCCTCTCTGATGAAAACAACCAACCCTGATTGAATTTACTTGTCCCAAGTCCGGCAGCAGAGACACAGCCCTCTCCATGCCTCCACAACACTGCCCTTGCCAGTGCACTGCATCGTCTGAGCCACAACCAATGGGTGTCTTTTTGTTGCCCAATTTCTGTGGAAACCTCTCCAGAGAAGCTGTGTTCAGTGTAATGCAGAAGTAGCCAATTTTTATCATGGAGCATTTGTAGGGAATGGAAACCATCTCTGGCACGGGTCATCTCCCCCAGAAAGATTTTCCTGAGGAAGGACATGTAAAGCTTGTCACGTGCTTTGTCCCATCTAACAAAAGTGCTCAGTACCGTTTACTAGAAGGCAATGTGGCCTGGGGCTTCTTCGAGGAATCGCTGCTCTTCTTCACCGGCATCTTGACAGATGGGCCTTCACCCTTCTGGCTTTCCATCTCCTACAAAGACATAAAGAAACCCCATGACTCTTTAGAAAATGCAATAGGAAACTCCCTGTTTAAAACACAAGTTGGAACCTCAGGATCACGGCTACCAAGACTTAGGGAGACATTTCCTAGCTTACAGAAGGCAACAGACCAGAGATTCAGTAATGCCAACTCTTTGTTCTCAATAGCCCAAGGCAGGTTATGGGTGCTGCCATACTGAGCAGCACTCTAAAATCCCAATTTCATTAGGCTTGAGCAGAAATGGGAATAATGCACACTGGTAGGCAATGAGTGTTCTTTAAGGAAGCAGCAGAAAAATTTGGACTCTCTGGGAGCTGGCCCATTGTGTTGGAAGTTGATTCAACACTCGCTCTCCCTGTTCCTCTACAACATCACGCTCCCTTCTATAATGTAGATAAGAAGAATAAAAAAAACCCACAAACAAACAGATGGTTTTCCACAGGACGCTGCTGAATTCCAGCTCCAAAGAGCTTGAGAGCAGGACAGTATTCCCAGCAGACAGACAGTAATGGTAGTAATTGGGATTGACATGTACATTTTTTGCATATTTGGAAATTTTCTTGTATATTTGGAAATTTTCAAGGCACTACTACGTCCAGTGTCTTTTGCATAGACTATATTATCTTCAGAAGCACTATTCTTACTTAATTCCTTTACTGGGGGCACAGTAGGGAGAGCATGGTGAGGGGTTACACTTAAATGAAAACTCTTTTTCTCCTCTTCCACTTTCCCCTTTGTGATATTCAAAATATTCAAAACCCCACTTTTTCCCTAAGAATATCAGTCCCTTTGTAGTCTGCAGATGAACAAGCTGAGGATTAACTGCTCATTCCCAGGAGCAAAGTGATTCAGGAGAATGAGATAAAGACTGATTAGGTATATTTGATCTCATATAAGCATTGGCAATCCTTGCACAAAGGAGACATTTCTCCTGCCAAGCACTTACTTTCTTCTTAATTCTTGTCAGAATATCTTCCAGGTCACGGGTAGAAACAGATTGCTCCAAAAGCCTTTTAAATTTTGGGTGACTTAGCATCATCTTCACCATCTCCTGTCCATAGTGCCTAAGGAACAAAGGAAGGGAAAGAAAGGAAAGTGAACAAACATAGGAAGAGTGTTAACAGAAGAGGCTGATACCTTAAACTCATCAGGTGCAATCCTTGCATAAGAAGGCATTACCTACTCAGCAAAGAGAGACATTTACCTCCACTTGTCGCTGCACAGTGCTGTCAGCTGAACACAAGAGGCAAGAGGAGAACGTGGGGCAACAGAAAATACCATTTGATTCTGAAACTGTGTGTGTGCTTCTGTGGGATCAATGGATCCCAGGGAACAATCAAAACACATCTGCTTGGTTGTCAGAGCCCATTAACAGTGTCTTGCTACCACTGCACAATAATTTGCCTTCATTTAACAGGCAGGGAAGCCAGGACAAAACACCTCTAGCTTCCTATTGATTATTCTATACCATATGTATGGACAGGGGCAGCTCGTTGCTCCTGGGTACTTGGCAGCTATTAATGGGAATTTAATCATCAAAGTGAGGGGATTTTGGTGGTTTGGGTTGATTTTGCCACTCAGAACCTGCAGTGCTCTTCAAGAACAAATTTGGAGGCCATTCAGCCACAGATAACAGCATTATAGATTTCTTCAGAATAGGTTTAGAAAGACTGAATACATTGGCTAAAGACCCCTGAAGTATTTCTAGGAAAATCTTAAGTTAATGAGAAATATATATTTGGGATCCTTCAGTGATGAAAAGTAGGCAACACTTTGTCTTTGTATGGTGCACCTAAGGCCAAACAAAACTGTTAGTCTGGCTAATCTGAGCTCTTTTGATCTCAGTCAAGAATTCTTCAAGTCACAGGAAGCTGGCAATGCTCCTTCTTGCTGGACAACCTCAGGTTACCCAGTACAGTCATTTCCCTGGGGAACCCAGAGCACTGGTCACAATACCAAGGCTGACAGAGCTCAAGAAGGGTTTGGACAATGCTCTTGGGCACATGGAGTGTCTCTTGGGGTGTCCTGCACATGGCCAGGAGCTGGACCTGATGACCCTGATGAGTCCCTTCCAACTCAGCGTATTCCGTGATTCTATGCCCCTTATCCACATGGAGAGGTAACATATTATTTCCTGTAGTTTCTACAATTTTGTGGGTTTCCCTTTTAAAGCCAGACACCAAACAGATTTCCTGTTTTAGGAGGTGAAATGAAGATCATTACCTTGTGTCCTTGTGACAGTCCTGAGCAAGCTTCCCTGCCACCTGCGCCAGGGTCTCAGCCCTGGGTGTGCCTGCGATCTTCGTGACTCCAATTTTCCCCATCAAGGACAGGAGGAGTTCGGCCGCACACTTCCGCACCTGGACGTAGCGGCTCCTGGGAAGAAGAGAGCAAACACTGGGACACAGGGAGAAGGAGGCACAGCAGCACAGGCCTTGGCCAGAGAATGCTCCCTGTCCTTGCTGGGCAAAGGAGGCCTGGGTTCTCCCTGCAACTTTAGACACCTGTAGGAGGTTCTGTCCTCAGATAAAGACAAAGTTAGCATTGCACAGAAGGAGTGCCTGCAAGGAAGAGGGAGGAATTCAGTCTCCCTGCATTATCTGATACTCAATTTCTTTCCCAAAATTTCCCTGAGAAAGATTTAAAAAATAGATTACATATGAATAATTTAGAAATTAATGACAACTCATGCTGACCCATCAGAGGCACCCACTACACAAAGCAGCAGAAGCAGGACTGAGGCTCTTTCCTCCCATTTACCCCCAATTCTAGAGACCTCCTGTGAAAAACAAATGCAGGGAAAATGCCCCATGATTTGGGGCATGAGGTTGCAGAATATCCAGCAATGCTGCCTGTTCCTTCTGTGAGGCTTGGCAAGGGATACATCTGAATGTTTTACCCTATTCCAAAGCTGAGGAAGGGGTGGCAGGCAGTTTAGCCAGGTTGTCCTGTTCTAGAGACTGTCTCTTGGGAACTATCAGGCCCAGCACCAACACTTAAGGCAGCATTTGCTTCAGCTGTCCAATGGCATTCGGCCTGTGAAGGTGCCTATAAAGTGATTCATCATCTCAAAGCTAACATGAAACATCAGTCTGAACAGAAAGTAAAGCTCTACGGCCAGGACAGTCCTACAAGAATCCTTTTGGCAGGAGCTGCACCTGCTGTGCTATCTGTGCCCCACCCAGCACATTTTCTTCCATGTGCTCCATGCCCCAGCAAGTCCCCTCCTTCTTTCTCAAGCTAATGGCATAATGAGGAGGCATGGTTTGTCCCAGGGCCTCTGTGCTTAGCGCTGTGAAATATCAAAGAGCGCTCACGGCTACAACTTCAATTGTCCCTCTTCCCACAAAAGCACAAGGCTCTATCCTTAGCCTTTGCAGGCACTTTCACTTCCCCACCATTCACCAGTTCTGGGAAGCTCTGACAGGCTGGGAGAATTCCAGGAAGCAGCAGGAAGCTGAGTCAGAGGAGGTTTAGGTTGGATATGAGGAAAAGGGTTTTCACCCAGAGGGTGGTTGAGCACTGGAACAGGCTCCCCAGGGCAGTGGTCACAGCACCAAGCCTGACAGAGTTGAAGAAGCATTTTAACAACAATCTCAGGCACTTGGTGTGATCCTTGGGGTGTTCTGTGCAAGGCCAGGAGCTGACCTCGATGCTCCTGATGGGCCCCTTCCAACTCCCCATATTCTACAGCTCTGTGATTCTGTGAACTTATAGGCTGCAGGAGGGCAGAAACAGGTGACAAGAGGAAAGAAGTGAGGTTGATGGGGGAATGAAGTCCCTGACTTCACAGAAGATGCAGGATGCAGGAGCCTTCCCTCCCACCATTCCCATTCTGTCTCTCATCCCTTCCCCCATGCACACACTAGAAGGTGAAGAAGATCACTAGAAGCAGAAGAACCTACTTGGCTCCCCTGTCCATGAGAGCAGCCAGTGCTCGTGCAGGAGTCACGTTCTCCACCATGATCCCCAGGGTCTGATTGGCTGCTTTCTCCAGAAACTCTGGGGAATTCCAAACCACT